GACCGATCCCGGTCCAAAATTAGCATAATCTTTAATCCACGCTGAATTATCTTACGTAACGTTTCGCTTTCTTTCGGTATAGTGTTTCGCTAGAAAGTGGCGCACTAAAGATGAGATATGGTTTGTTTGCTTTAAGATTGCATGAAATCCCGCCAGGTTGTAACCTTCAGATTCGAGACGTGTTGTTTGTCTAGCGTATGGTTTGCCTGGATTAGTCATTGTGACTGTTTAGTCACTTGTTGAATGTCGCATGCGATACTGTTTAGTGTCTTTTTATGAATTACCTAATGTATGCCAATTAATGGTCTTCAGTTCTCGATCTATGGTTCAAGGCAACAATTTAGTGGCTTATTTGGTTGCTTTATTTGCGTAGCTATTGCAATAAACGTTAATTTGGTTGTTTATTGAATATCCATACTATGCTTAATATCCATGTCTGATGAATAGCCATATTCCATGATGGGCAACGCGATTTAATGGAGAAAATCTTTAGTTTTCGCGCATGTACTTCAGACCCATTTGGGAGGAGATTGGATTATTCTCACCATTGTAAAATTCTGTATTGGGTCTATGACATTTGATCGTCGTCATGGTAACATCCATCCTGTGTCGCAGTAAATTTTCTGCTTAACTTTTCTGCATTTAGTGAACGTCCGTATTTAATAAATACTTAATAAGATTGGTTAAATGGTTAAATTGTTTAAAATGTGATGATTAATTATTAAAAGCTAGTTTAATGTTCTGTTTCGCCAAGAATGTTGAAACAACGCATTAATTCTTTAGTTGTATTTATTTTCAAACCTGAAACCGACGTGTCGGACGAATTTTGGTCCTTCGTCAGAGTTACAATAGACTTTATAATGCTGGACTTTATTATAGCTCTGAAGAGCTGAGTTTGTTCCTAACCGTCAATTTCTGATTTAAGAAAAGGAAGCGATAGTTTGTCACAGTTGGGACGTTGGGCTTCCTTCACTTCATGATACGCGGCCATATTGGAGTTGATGGTGCAGTGCTGATCTTTGTTTCTATGTCATAAGCCAGGAGTAGCTTATTATTTGAAGGTGGAGTCTGCAAGAATGTGGCAAGCGTAGCGTTTAGTTTCCTCTTTCCTTCTTACAGAATGGTACTCATTTATCAATCTTGGAAGGACGTAGGGCGAGTGACCCTGATGAAGGCTTGAACTTAGGACCTATTGGTTTTGAGTTCGGTATCCTACCGACTGAGCAGCATCGATCTGAAGCAGTGTGTCTTAAATTCTTTCTTTAAAGGAGTAAGGCAAATATTGCCGCCTGGCGGAATAGAACCTTGCCCTCCGCAGTTCGAAGCAGACCTCTTAGATACTGTTGCAACACGCTAATTCTGGTTTAAAGTAGATGTAAGAAAAGCATTTATGCATTGATTTCCCATTTGTGGACGGTCTGACTCACATAGTCATTTTCTACATAAAATAATCTTGAACTATTTTATGTTAGCTTAGTATTTATGGTATTCAGTGGTTTTATTTTACACTACCTCACAGAGAAATAATACAGCAGCTCTTTTGGGAAAATGAACAATTTACTGGATGTAGCTTAGCATTACCTCATTTAATGGCAGCCGAAATTTAGCTTAAACGAGAAATCCTCCGGAGCTTCCAGTAAAATATCGGTTTCATTGTACCAAGTTTACACGGTCTGGTCACACGATGTACGTCGTCAATAAGATGATGAAGGGTTACTTGCTACCTTCGTTGTTTCTCTTGCTTGGATCCCCTTTTAACATATGCTGACGACTTAAAAACTGCGGTATAGTGTCACTTATCATTGATGCTTTTCCAGTTTGTTTTATGGAATAGGAGGTGATTTCGCGCTCCTGTGAAGATATGGCAATCGTTAGATCTGGTGGCATAATGATCGATCTTGAGGCTAAGGCTATTGTGCAGATTGCTTGTGACATTTTGTTCGTATTCGGGTGTTGCAGCTTAGCACCCACTCATGTCACGCAGATTTACCTGCTATTCTCGAAGCTTTATTACATGATGAAGCCATGAAAAACGTCATCGTCCTGAAAACAAGAACTGAACTGTATAGAAAATCAGTGGTACCTCAGTTAATTCGTTCCTTCATGAATCCTCATGCCTTAAAGTATCGTTTCCTGCTTTCTAGAGACATTGCGTAATAATTTCATGCTGTTGTAGCCTGCGTATATGTGAATGCTAACATCAGAAATATCTATCTTCCTGCACAGCATTATTAAATACTGGATGAGGAAATATGTAAAGAACGTAAATAGACATAACTCAATCCACTTGCGGTTAGCGGACGACATTTTGATGCATTTGAAGGCTATCAAAAGTACGCCAAAAAAGAATCCAAAAGCTGAACGATGCCACCATCGAAGTAGACTGAAAATGAATCCGAAAAGACTCAGATCATATCTAATACGTGATTACGTTGCCAGTTGAAGTCATTGGACATAGCCTTGAAGAAGTACAGAACTACGTCTCTTTGGAACATCTGATCTCTGCAACGGAGCACCGATTCTTTGAAATTAACCAAAAATAAAAATAAAAATGGCATGGGGTAGTTTTTGAAAACTGAAAATGTCCCTACCCGGAAAACTGTCCTTATGCTTTAAACGGAAAGTATGCGAACATGGACCCTAAGACTGAAAGCAATTCATTAACTGCAGAATACGCAATGCAGGATAGAAAGAAGTGTATTGGAAGTG